TAACTGGGCCGGTTCTGGCTCTTCTTTTGACCTCATCTGTGAAAGGAGGGACAGCAGCCCTGCTTCATAAACTGTAGTGGAGATTGGCGAGCTTTAAGAGATGCAGCTACACTCTGAACTCCCTCTGAGCACCTGCTGGCCTAATGCATACAGTCCACCTTCTCGAAGTATGTGCTCAGCACACAGATGGAACAGATATGGAGAAGGGGCACAGCTTTTCCTGATTCTTTCAGGGCCAGGATGACCACTGAAAAGTAAGGCCCCAGTGACCCCTCCTGTCCCTAACTCTGAGTTGTTCACACTACAAGGCTGAAGGCAGAACAACTTGCCCAAGTCGCTGGATCCACCAATCTGTTTCACCACCAGGTGGTTCCCCAGCCACGCCCGCATTCAGGGCGCGAGATAAAGCAAGAAGGAGATTGATTGCAAAACTCTCATAGTCCTACGAGGGTGGCGATCTCAGGCCAGCCAGATGGGCATTCCAAGAAAGAACCTACATAAAAATAGGAGGTATGGTGTGATCCTCTGCAACTCCCGTAGCCAGGATTTTGGCAGTACCAAGGATTTAAGGGGACGGGAAAATTCAAACTGACAGATTCATCAAGGGGCCACACCACCCCTTAATAAAGAGACACACACCACACCCTCCAGCGGCTCTCATAGCCGGCGTTTAGCAGGTGGGACCCACCCGGCACAAGTGACCCCAGGCGGCCCCCGTAGTCGGCGCTAACATGTGGGCGGGGCCCGCTAACTATGACCCCCGGCGGCCCCCGTAGCCCTCACCCGGTAGAGGCCGTACGTGCTTTCGGCGTGCTCGAAGGGGACCAGGCGCTCGTCGCAGAAGCCCAGCGTCCAGCGCGCGAGGTTCGCGGGCCCGGCCGGGGCGGCAGCGGCGGGCAGCTCGCGGGCCAGCATGGAGATAAGGCTGCCTCCCGACAGGCCGAGCGCGAAACGGCCGCGGGCTCCCGCCAGGCAGCACTCAGCCCGCTGCGCCACCAACTGCGCCAGCGATGCGCCCAGCTCCTGCGGGCTCGAAAAGACCGAGATGAGGCCCGGGGCCGGCGCGGCCATGGCGACGGCGGCAGAGGGGAGGCGGAAGCGCTCCCGGTGGCCGCCAGTGCGCCTGCGCTGGGGCCGACCGGGTTACACCATCCCCAGCCGGTGTGCCGCGCAGCCCAGGACGCATGCGCATTCGGGGGCGTGACGGGCAGTCCGCGCCGATTGCAGCACCCTGGTTTTGAGGACCTTTCCTGCACCTGCCGCTGCCAGGGTGTGTTCTCATCAAACTTCGCACAACTCTCTAGCAACTCCTCCCTCAGCACCCATGCACGTCGCAGCCTGTCCCTCTGATGGCCTCCAGGACGACACCATGCTGTCGTGGTTCTCTTTCCTCTGCCTCGCAGGTACTAACATCCCCCCCTTGCCCTTCCGTGCAAATCCTTCCAGGGGCCGCCCCTAAACAAGGGACTCAGGGCAGGGTGACTTCTAACCCTGCACTCACGATTTGCCCTGAGGCCTTGGGACAAGTCCCAGAACTTCTCATTGGGGCATATAAAAAATACATAGCTTTCAAGTCTCAGAAAGCCAAAGAGTGAGAGAAGTCTGTCTGTCTCTCTGTCTACCTGCTCTGTGGGATGTTCTGGAAAAATAAAAATTTTAGATAGTGTGAAAAGATGAGTGGTTGCCAAGGGATCGGTGGATGGAATTTAGGGATGAATAGGTGTACCGGGAATTGAAGTGATTCTGTATGATATACCAAGTGATATCTACGTGATATTGTTATGTGCTGTCGAGTCACTTGCAACTCATGGTGACCCTATGTACAACAGCTCTGAACTCTTTTCTATCCTGTTCCAACCTTACTGACACACCCACCCACCCCTACTACCCCTGTCACTGAATCAATCCAAGATCTTCCTTTCTTGTGCTGTCCCTCCACCCTCTCAAGCATGATGTCTGTTCCATTTTGCAACATGCCCAAAGTATGTCAGATAGAGCTTCGGAATCCTTGCCTCCAAGAAACAGCCAAGTTTCACTCTCTCCATGATGAACCTGTTCTCTTAGTCCATGGTATATTAAGTACTCTTCTCCAGCACCACAACTCAAAGGGATCAATTCTCCTCCTATCATCCCTATATCATGATATTGTCACTGGAGACTCTTAACCTTATGCATTTGTTGAAGCCCATTGGACTGTACATCACAAAGTGAACATTCTTGTAAGGGGTGAGTTTGGTTAATCACACCAAGATTGAAACATTAGCTTTTACAAATTTGACACCGAATTTAAAAGGAAAAAAGAAAAGTATCACAGGATGTTGTTAATACGAGAAACATTGTATTTGGGGATGAGGAGGAGGAAGTGGGAATTGTCTGTAGTTTCTGCCTAATTTCTCTAACCTTTAATCTCTTAAAAATAAAGTCTATTCATTGAAAACAGACAAGCCAGTTGGCCTGGTCTTGCCAGTCTTCAGGTTTGGTTTTTTTAACCCTCTCCCCCATTTTGGGAAAAGCAAAACCCAAACCCACTGCTGTTAAGTCAATTCCGACACTGCTTGGACTCTGTGTGTCAGAGAGCTGCTTGGGAGGGTTTTCTCAGCTGTCTTCTATGGATGTAGACTGCTGGATGTCTGGGCAGTAACCAGAAATGTGCTGCATCAGCTACTCCTACAAGGTTGGAAAAGGAAGTACCCCACCAGGCCACTTTCTCACCAGGAAACCCTGACATCAACTTCATTCCCCTCTGCGTGCCTCAGTTTCCCCATCTATATGAGGTAGAGATAGCCATGAGGTCTAAAGAGATACTACAGAGAAAACATGCCTGAGTTTGTCCATGCTGACCACCGAGCCTCGTCCCACCCTGACATCTCTCGGGTTTCCCCACTGTCCCTCTGTTTACAGACCACAGGGCCAGGACTAGAACCACGGACTGTTCACCTATCGCCTGGGCTGGCCGACACCTTGTCCATACTATCCACTCTGTCCACACTCTCAACAAATTCATCCCCCAGTGTCACTCTGAGGGAAAAGAATGAGGCAACCGAGATAAGAGTCCAGTAACTACGGACTATGTTATTGTTAGGGAGCTCTGGTGGATTAGTGGTAAGGAGTTGTGCTGTCAACCCAAAGGTACACAGCTCAAGTCCACTACTAGCTGCTCCGCAGGCAAAAGATGGACAGTTTTCTGCCAAGTGATTTATACAGCCTCTGAAGACCCGCTGGAGTGTCAGCTATGACTCGGTTCTGACTCGATGGTACTTAACATGTTGTTGGTAGATGCCGTAGTCACCTGTGACTCAGTGACCATGTCCTGCAGCATCCTCTCAATATCTGACAGCTCATGCTATAGACTACAGGTGATAATGTGTCAGAAATGAGTAAATCTGCTGTAAGCACAGAAACAGAAATGCAAAATCTTAACAGTAGGGGCACCTCCTGCTAGTGAAGAGGGGGCCAGGGAACTCTCGCAGCTGTCCTTGTGAAATGTGGCGTCAGGAATGTGGGCTTCAATCCCGACTTGGATGACCATCTTTGCAGATGGTTGGAGCTAGGACCTGCCCACTGACCCTCTGAGCAGAGGGGGACCCTCTTGGGGTGGCAACCAGACTGCTGGAATCTGCAGGGAAACCACCTGTCCCTCCTTTGGGGCCACTGGGACAGATGCAGGTCTTAGGTCCACAGAGCAGGGAGAGCTCAGCCCATGCACCCCCACTTCACATCGTTCTTGAAGCCCTTGCATGAAATGGCAGCGTGTGTCTTGCTTGTGTCTAACAAACATATGTCCCCTTGAGGCCACAAGCCCTCTGAAACGCTGACTCGGGCCTGCGCCAGGTAGGACAGGACACAGGAATGACCAGGCTCCCACAGAGCCCACCTCTGCAGGTTTATTTCTTAAACTCAGTTAGGAAACAGGATCTCGGCACATGTGGGGTTGCCGGGGGTCTGAGTGACTGGCCCCCAACAAGGCTGGCATAGGTGGCCGAGATCAGCCCTGAGGCTGGGGGATCCTCAGGTGGGTGGCCTGGGTTTCACGACTGACACAGGGGTTGAGTCATCCATAGAGGTCACCTGGGACATCTGTGGGGTCAGCACTGTGGCCCCGCAAGGTCACTTCAGATGCTATGCCCTGGGATAAGGCCTCTCCTACTCACATGGTACCCTCCAGGCATTACTCTGACTGGGGACACTGAGAGACCCTTACCAGGGGGCACATCTGAAGACCCACATGGGCAGGCCACCACAGCCACCAAGCACCCAGTTATGCCATCTTCAGGGCCCACAGGCAGGAGCTCCATGGAGATGCCTGATGGGGACATCAGGCATGGCAGGCAGAGACAATGTACAGGCAGTCACAATCCATTCCACAAACTTCTGGGGCATCATGAGGGGCAAGTGGGGCCGGGGACCCAGCAGGGATGGGATGTGCAAAAAGCCATTGGTCCCCGGGGGGGGGGTGACCCACGACGACTTTCCAGTTGATGTGGGGGGTCCTCTCCTGTCCCCCATCCTCTCTCTTTCTCAGTCTCTCTCTCTCACACACACATACACACACGTACACATGCACACAGTCTGGGTAGCTGGGCAGACACTCCAGCTGCTCTGCTCAGCAGGAGGGTCACCCCAGCCTCAAGTTCAGAAGGACAACCACGTCCTGGACCTTGCAGCCAAAAGCATCCTAGACGGGGCTCCTTAAGGCACAGCTAGGGGGCAGTGACAAAGCAGGGGAGACCACAGGAGAGAGGAGGGGAGATGGCAGAATCGGGCAGGGGGAGGAGGAACAAAGGGAGGCAGAGAGGCCAACGGGGAAGGGACAGTCCCAGAGGCCCACAGGACAGTTGAGCCCTACACAGGACACAGCTCCCAGCTAGCGAAGTTGGATGAAAAGGAGAAGGAAGCCAAGACCAAGGAGAAGAGAACAGGGCAGGGTGCGGAGGAGAACAGGACAGGGTGCAGAGGAAAGGAGAGGCCATGGGGCAGGCCCTGGTGAAGCCGTCCCAGAGCAGGGTCAGAGTGCGAAGGCGCCTGAGCAGATGCGGCCGTAGATGCCCTCGTCCAGGGGCAGGTAGTGGCCTTGCTTCAGGTCCAGGAAGAAGAGCCGGTCCGAGGTCTGGCGAGGATCAAAGCCCTCTCGCTGAAGTCGTGTCTTCTGGATCTTGAAGGTGCCTGTGGAGGGGGGACCAGGGCTGGGGATGGTGCTTCCAGGAGCTCACCAGCACCCCATCCTCCCCTGCTCATCCTCTAGGCCTCTGCACAGGCACAGGCCGGTGCCTCTGCCTCGGCAGGAATATGTGTTCCCCAGTAGCCTCCCTAATGACCCCTCCTCCAGGAAGGTGTCCCTGACCACATTTTGCACAGCAAGAAACTGCTCCCAGCCTGGTCACATGTCCATCTCTGTGCAACTGCCACACAGATGTTAGTTCAGCAGACCACACATTGCCCCTGGGCCAAATCTAACCTACCACCTTCAAAAAGTTCAGACACTCAGCTGTGTACACATCAGCTTGAGGAAATGAGTTCTTTTATGTGGCCTTGCTTCTCTGGAGAATCAGATTGAGATTTCCTCCTAAGCCTCACAGAGACATTAACCTTTGCCTTAGTTTTCTACCCTAGAGGATTTATTACTTTTTGTCCCATTTGATTGACATTATCTGGGTGAACTATAAACAGTTTTGATACTGTTTTGGTTTCTGTTGGGCCCTGGTTTACAACCTGCCCTGTGATTGATTTCTGCACCTTGCAGGGATTGGCCTATAGTATGCAAATGAAGCATCTGCATCTCACTATACAAATGAAGTATGGACTGTTTGTATTCCCCTTCCTCCAATGCCTTAAAACAAACAAGAAGCTATGCATGCATATATGCAGCTAGTCCCACAAAGGTTTTTCAGGAAGGGGGGGGGTAGGGGCGAGGTGGGTAGGAGCAGGAGAAAGAAAGAGGAGAAGGGAGATAAGGACTCCACTCACTGCTGGCGAGATGGAAGGTGCCCAGAGCCGGACCCTTCATTGTGTTTGCTAGACTGTAACCTCATGAAAAGAAGATTGCCCATCTTGCTCCCTGAGGGCAGCTGGGAGATTTGACCCACCAGAGGTTCTGCCTTTTGGTTAGCAGCTCAACTCTATGGACTGTGCTACCAGAGGAGATGTGTAGTACAGGCCAAGGGCTATAATATTGAACACAGCAAGGAGTCCAGAATGGTAACTGGGGGGGGGGAGCTATTGCCAAGTCAGTGGTGGCAGGCCCAGCAGGCACCCCATGGCAGAGTTGGTGATGACAGATGGCAGGACCGAGAGGACTTGAGACACCTCTCCTGCACTGGAGACTTTCTCCACATGCTACCTGATCCTGATCTGAATTACACCCTTCTATTTAACAAACCCCTTAACTATATAAATACGGGCTGTGAGTTCAGTGTGGCTACTGCAACAAGTAGTCAGCCCTAATAGCGCATACGCCATGGAGTGACAGCTGGTGTCAGAACTGGCACAGACTGAAGAGTATAGGTGTTTCTGCCGTTCTCCTCCTGGGAGCCCATCTTGGGCTGATTCTGGTCCTGACCCCTGCAGTGGGGCGAATCGTGATGACACTGTTACTACTCCATCAATGTTCCAATGCTGTTTTCAGGCTATGGTGGCAGGACTGTGTTGCTGTGGACAGGTTATATGAAAGGATTTACTGTCTGGTTCTTTATGAGGAATTTTCCCAATCTCTGCAGTCAACAGAACCAGTCGCCCTTGCATCAGTTCCAACTCGTAGCGCCCCCATGTGTGTTGGAGCAGAACTGTGCTCTGTGGAGTTTTCAGGGACTGACTTTTCAGAAGGAGATCACCAGGCCTTTCCTCCAAGGCACCTCTGAGTGGACTCAAAACTCCAGCCTTTGGTCAGCAGCCACGTTTGTTCACCGTATGTACCACCCAGGAAACTCAACCTCTGCAGTAGATGATTAAAGAATTCTTTGAAATACTATACTAAGGATTATCGCCAAGAGTTACAAGCAAGAAAGGCTACGTTTCTGACTTAAAGAGTTGTGAAGGTTTTCTAGAACAAAGCTTTGAAAGCACAAATCATCAATTTTTTTTTCAAAGTGGAATTTTTTCCATCTTGCTATTAAGACCTTTTTCTCCTTTACAAAGGACACTGTTAAGAAATCTGACACAGAATAGAAGAAAGTTCAAATACTTGAAGCTGCTGAGTACATAACACCTAGACTTATTACAAAGATCTCTCCCCACATCACAAAGCAGCAGCAACACCAGCATGACATGAGAAAACAGGAAGTTATCAGTAGAAACCCTAAATGCACAAGATTGCCTCAAACTTCCTAGAAACTAGGCAAAATGCAGACAACACCAACCCTTTCAGGAAGCCTGGTGGGGGAGTCCCTGGATGGTGCACAGTGCGACTGTGCTTAGCTGCTAATGAAAAGTTTGGAGGTTTGAGTGACCCAGAGAGGCCTCAGAAGAAAGGCGTGGTGATTACTTCGGAAAGATCAGCCAATGAAAAGCCTGTGGAGCCCCGTTCCACTCTGACACACATGGAACCTCCCTGAGTTGCAGTCAGCCTGAGTGAGTGGTGAGTGAATGACTGTGAGTAACACAGAGGGGGAAGGACGGACACGAGGGACAGACAGAGGAGGGCTGCACCTGTGGTGTCCACCTGGGGCAGGAGGCGCAGGAAGATGGGACGGGCGTAGGGCGCCAGCACCTTCTGCAGCTCCTGGTACAGGGCGTTGGGGCTCAGCTGGCCCTGGGGGTCGGCGATGGCGGCCATGCCGGCTTTGCCCTCAACTCCTGAGGAAGAGGCTTGGTTCAGGATGTGCCCTAGCCCGGCCTCAAACAGGCCCCCTCCACTTAACACTAGTGAATGCTCTGAATGTTTTAAAGGTTGTTCCCTGAACTCCTCACAACCTTTAGAAAGACTGCCTTTGTGATCTGTTTTACAGATGAGAAAACTGAAGTTCACTCACTCTCTACACCCAGGTGACTTGGACCCCGTGCACCCAGCTAGGCTACCATGAGCTGCTGGCCAGGTTGTCTGCTGCCCAAGGGCATTTGTAACCTCCAGGCAGCTCCACACCCAGGCACATAGCCCTGCACACCCAGAGAACAGTGTCCACACACACACACCCCGACCAGCACAGCCTGACTTGCCTGGCACGGCCACCCCATACACGGCCACGTCCGTCTGGCCTAACAGGCGGCTCAGCACGCCTTCCACCTCAGTGGTGGACACATTCTCCCCTCGCCAGCGGAAGGTGTCTCCGCTGCGGTCCCGGAAATACATGTAGCCCAGCTCGTCCATCACCAGCACGTCACCTAGCAGGAGGAGAGGGAGTAGTGGACGAAGGAGTCCCCTGGCCCCGTCCCCTCACACCAGCTCCTGGTCAGGTGGGCCGCACACCTGAGAGGTAGGCGCTGTCGCCCTTGCGGAAGACGCTGTGGGCAATCTTCTTGTTGGTGGCGCTCTCATTCACGTAGCCGTCGAATCGGCGCAGAGGGTCGTGCTGATTGATCTGGCCCACAAGGAGGCCGGGCTCGCCTGCGGAGTGCTAGGCTCAGGGTGTGTGAGGGTGAGGCCAGGGGCAGGGGCACGCTGGGCAAAGGAACTAGGTGGGGTTAGTTAGGGGAGCTAGGGTCCAGTCAAGGGAGCTGGGTGGGGAGAGTAGATCTGGTGAGCGGAACTAGAAAGTTGGGTGGGTCTAGAGAGATGATGGATGGAGCAACCAGATCTGGTGGGCGGAGCTGGAGAGCTGGTGGGATGAGGGAGTTGGTGGGTGGTGCAAGTAGACCTGGTGGGCGGAGCTAGGGAGTTGGGTGGGATGAGGGAGTTGGTGGGTGGGGCAAAGGAGGTGGGTGGGGTGAGTGGACCAGGTGTACCCTGAGCAAGTGGACGTGGTGGGGGGGATAAGGGGAGATGGTGAGTGGGGCAAAGGAACAGACGGGTCAGTCCATAGACACTGGGTGAGACGGGAAGGGCAATGAATGAGTGGGGCAAGGTAGGCTGGAGTTGGGGCGCAGTAGGTGGGGACAGAGGCCAGGGAGCAGGAGAAGAAGGGCTGGGGCAGAGCAGCGGGAGGGGCCTCTCACCAGTCTGGCACGGGATACAGAGACCCTGGGCATCACGCAGCAGCTCCATCGTGTCCTCGTTGACCTTCACCAGCCGAATGGGGTACACATTGGGCAAGATGCGACTGTTGAAGCCACAGGAACCGACCTGGATGGGCAGCCAGGTCAGGAGGGGAGCACTGGGGGGCAGGAGTACACGGTCTTCTCCTGTGGTATTGCGTCCCCTGCCCCAGGCCCACACCCAGCTTTGACTGACTTGGACCACACTCCTCATCCACCCAAAAGAACATCCCACCCCTCCCACATTCCAGGCTCCTGCGACCCACAGATTTCCTCCAAGCTGGCAGAAGAGACTGACTCTGGAGAGCTGGCAGGGGATGTCGCCCTGTCCCTTCCTGTGATGAGAAATGCCTCGTGCTTTGGTAGCACCACAGTGATGGGGGTGTTTGTCACAGCAGCCACCAGGGTCAGCAAGGCCAGGTTCCTTTCAGACACAGTAGGTCTAAATCCTGCCTGGGCTTTATCATCACTGCTCCTCGTTTGAGAGGTTTCGGGTGCAGGGTTAACATGGGAAGGATGAAGGAGGACCTCTGTGCGGGGTTAACAGGGTGGTCATGTCCACTGCTCCTCATTAAAGCATCCCTTTACAGATGCCAGCACATGGGGGGTGCTGTGTGGAGCTGGGAGTATTAGGGGATGAGAACAAAACCAAGGAGCTGTTTATAAGGGAGAACAGGCCCCAGAGATGCCAAGAGGGGAGGTGGCTGGCATGAAACCCTGGCTCTGGGTCCCCAGACTCCTACACACATAGACAGCCCACACCTGTGCATATCGAGATTCAGAGAGGCTGGAGCATCCACCTAGGCCACACAGCTGTCCAGAGGCCACCAGCTAAGATCCGTGTCTGGTTAATAGCCTGACTTGGAACCCTCTCCAGTGGAGAATGGTGATGAGGTTAACTCTACAGCTGAATGGGTCTGGGGCCCTCGTGCCGCATTCACCCGTCTGGTGTTACACGGTGGAGGGGGGCTGTTACTCTCATTCTGGTGCACAAAAGCAGAACCAGCATTTCTGTAGCAAGGCAGGGGCCTGAGGATCTACCTGTCAGGTGCCACCCACACCTGGAGCCCCGGTATTCTACCCTCCTAGCCCAGGCCCCGCCCCTGCAGCCCACCAAGATCACCGCCAGCTGCCCAGCGGGCCCTGCCCACCTTGCCATCCATGTTGGCGATGCTGCAGTTGCACTCGGTGGCCCCGTAGAACTCGCCGATCTGTCGCACACCGAAGCGCTGCGTGAACTCCTCCCAGATGGCAGGCCGCAGCCCGTTGCCCACAGCCAGCCGCACGCGATGCCGCCCCTCGGCCTCCCGCACCGGCTGCTTCAGCAGGTAGCGACAAATCTCCCCAATGTACTGGACCACCTGGGGATGGGGGTCCCCATCAGAAGGGCCACAACGCACAGCCAGGCCTGCTGCCAGTGATCTGAGACCCCCCGCGGCCACCTGACCTGGTGGCTAACAACAAGCTGACATGGCATGAAGCACTTGGTGACAGCTCTGGGCACAGCCCTCACCTGAGGTTTGTACCTGTCCATTCATCTGTCCCCTCGCTTGTTATGCCCCCCCCTCACTGCTTCCTGGGGTGCTTCTTAGCTGTCAAAGGAGCCTATGCCACAGGACGGATAGGGGGTGTGGATACCCTACTGAACAATGCAAGCAGGAGGGCAAAACTCTGGGGTGAGATGCTCTGCAGACCCGACCCGATCCTCAACCCTTCACCACCTTAGTTTCCCAGCTGGACTGAGCCCCAGTTGCCCACAGCATTGCCAGTTCTTTGGCGCCCCCTGGGGGCACAGTCCATCCCTGTCTCATTTCCCCAGCTGCCCTCCAGCTTTTCCAGGCTCACCTAGATAACCAGGTGTTGGTTTCAAAATTGGCTTCTGAATAATTGTTGTTGTTATTATGTACCACCCAGTGGAAACTGGCCCATAGCTGGCCCTCTAGTGGGTTTTCAGAGGTAATAAACAGCAGGGGAGGGGTTTGCCTATTTTTCTTCCCAGGAGCAACTGGTGCATTCGAACCAGATGCCTTTGGGACTGTAGCGCAGTTTCTTACCACTAGGATTCCCTTCTGAATGATCGGTTACTCCTATTTTGCAGAGGGGGAAACTGAACCATAGAGCTGGTAAGTGGTACAACCTGATGAGAATGTGATACAGTCCCTTCCCAAATGTAAATGTAACCACCTCAGAAGCAAAGCCTGGTGACCAACTTTCACAATATCAGCCACCGAAAACCCCAAGGAGCAGTTCTATGTGGACACACGTGGGGTCAATGGGTGTTGGAGTCAACAGGAAGGCAGCTGGTGCAGTGTAATGCGATCTCGTGGAATGCCATCGACTGAGTAACGTCACACTGGAGTTGAGAGGATCCTTAAACCTAACGCTTCTGAGTTATGAAGAGACCAGGACAGAGAGCGCACACATGCAGTGGAAGACAGAAACTCTGTAAGGCCTGTGGGCATACCCAGGAAGCCAGGGCTGCTAACAAGGCAGGAATTGACAGGCCCAAAAGCCTGATCCAGATGTCTAACCTCCAGAACTGTGGGAAGAGAAATACCACCATTTGTGGTATGTGTTATAGCCACAAATACTATGTGCCGGCAACAATGGGCAGATGAGGTGAGGATGACTCAGAGGTTGGGCGGGGTTTCAGTCTGTTGTTCATAGGATTATTCAGTCAGCTTGACAGCATCTAACAATAGTAGATAGCTAAGAGGAATTGTTTTGTTGTTGTTGTTATGTGCTAGCCAGTCGCCTGTGACTCATAACCCTACGTACAACAGTTCTGAACCCTGCTCGATCTTGAGCCAATTTCATTGTCTCCGACATACCTACTCCCGTTACCCTAATCCCTGAGTCAATCCATCTCACCCATGGTCTTCTCCTTGCACTGTCCTTCCACCCTTCCAAGTGTGACATTATTCTCCAAGGACTGGTCCCTCCCTTGAGTGACCCTAATTATTAAGCACTCAGCTACCAGTCAACTTGTCCATGACTTCATCTTATTTGCTACAATCAGTCAGATGAGAAAGTACATTGCATTGGGAAAGTCAGATGTTGATGGGAAAATATATTTCATTGGGAAAGAAAGACCTCTCCAAATGACTGAGGAGCAAGGATTTCCGTTTGAAGACTAAGGTGTGCCTGCTTCCTATCATCTTTTCACTCACTTGCTATGCATCTGAGTTTGACAATAAATAAGAATGGATGCCTCTGAGTTGCAGTGTTGGAGAAGAGCCATGGACTGCCAGGAGAATAGATACGTCTCGGATAAAGTACAACCAGAGTGCTCCTTGGAGGCAAGGATGGTGAAGTTTGGTCTCACTACTTTGGGCATGTTTCTAGGAGAAACTATTCCTTGAAAAGGGATATTATGCTAGGAAAGCTGGAGGAAAAGTCTCAACAAGATAGACTGACTGTGACAGCAGCAATGGGCTCAAGTGTGTCAGAGATGAGGAGGAGGACGCAGGAGAGGACAAGCATCAGCTCTGTTGCTCTTCGGATTGCTAAGAGTTGCACTCAACTCAATGGCAACACCAGACAACAACAACTAGCCAAGAGGATAACAGTTCGAACCCACCCTCATAAGAAAGACCTTGCAATTTGCTTCTAAGTGGCTTTTAAAACCCCATGGAGCAGTTCTGCTCTGCATATGAGTTTGCCAAGAATTGAACTCAACACAAAGGCAACTAACTAATGACAATAAGACACTAAGGCCTCCATTTCTCCACCTGCAAAAAGGTTTTGCCCTCCTCTCAAGCAGTTAGGAGGTGTAGGATCTTGTGAGGCGCAACGTCAAGCGTTCATTCTGGGTTAGACTGAGAGCTGACCAAAGGCCCTGTCCCTGTCCCCATCTTGGAGCCCGAGGGGAGTGAGGGGAGGGGCTGGCGGAGAACCAACCGTGCAGTTGTACTTGACGCAGTCGTCCCAGAAGCGGCTGGCCGAGAACTTCTTGCGGATGACCACAGTAAGCCCATAGATGAGACACTGCCCGATGCCCATGATGTTCCCTGCGGAGGGTGGGCTGGTGAGGGACCCCTGCCCACTGCCCACCCACCCACCGCCCACCCATTCCTACCTGCTGAGTGGTACAGGGGCAGACAGTCATACAACACATCCTGGGCCTGCATGCGGTAAGCGTGATGGCCAAAGGCTGCAATGCGGTAGTACCTGAAGTGACAGGGAGGGGAAAGAGTAGGAACATTATCCTTGATGGGAAAGAGGGTGTGCTAGACGCTGGGGAGCCAATCTAAGGAGCAGGAGGCGGCTGGGAGGAGCTGAGGGAAGGGCACCCAGGTAGGGACACTGTGTGTGCAAATGTCCTGTGGCTGGACTGGGCTGGTCACCCTAGGATACTATGGAGCCAAGGAGGACCAGGACAGTGGGAAGTGGCGGTGTCAGAGGATGCACGCGCAGGACTCAAGGGGGAGTGTGGGTTTTATCTTAAGGGGTAGGGCGGGGAGGACCATAAGGATTTTAATGACCCAAGGGCTGCTGTGGAGGGCAGGAGGCACTGGTGGGTAAGAATATAAACGGGAAAGCCCAGACACAGCTGGAGACAGGGATAGGCCCTGTTGATGGGTTAAATATAGCTGGGAGGTGGGATGCTGGTGACCTAGGCACTGGGTGGGGCAGTATGATGAACTGAGTCAGCCACAGGAGAACTGTTTTGCTGAGTTGGGGTCAGGAATCAGGGGTCCAGAGGCTGGCCAGGCTGGGGGCTCACCTGCTATGCACGACGATGGCAGCCTTGGGCAGCCCCGTGGTCCCCGAAGTGTAGATGTAGAAGAGCCGGTCTGCAGGAGAGGGGGAACAGAGGATGCTGGGGCAACGTCAGAGACGGTGTGAGTGAGGAGCAGGAGACAGAGTGGCATTGTGGACGGGGTGGGGAGAACAGGGTGAGGGCAGGGGGTAAACAGCATCACCAGCAGAAATGAGGTTGTGAGTGGGCATTTGGGGCAGGTATTGGGTTGGAGGAGCAGAAGGATGTCATGCACGAGGTTAGACTGTGTGCTGCCGAGTCAGAACGACTCACAGCTGACACCGGGTTTTCAGAGGCTGTAAACAGCACTGGAGGAGATCGCTCATCTCTCTCCCCCAGAGCAGCTGGTGGATTCAAACCGTCTGCCTTTCGGGTGGCAGCACAACTCCTTAGCACTAGGCCATCAGAGCTCCCTCTGGACAAAGGGATGGGGACACTGGGACCAAAGAGTGGAGTAGGAATTGGGGTACATGGCAGACTGGAGTAGGGCATAAGATGGCACCAGGCACAAAGATGGGGACCTGGGGTGAGTATTTGGGACAGGCATTGGAAAGAGGGAATGGGCCAATTGTCTGGAGACACCAGTGAGCACTGGGGATGGGGGGTGATGGGAGCCAGAAGGAGACAGGGACACAGGTAGTGGGGACGGAGGTCTGGGTTGGGCACTGGAGCAGGCCTGGGGACCAGGTAGGCAGAAAGATAAAGGTATAGAGCAGAGTCAGAAATAGTGACCAGGTCCTAGGAGTTAGGGATGGAGTAAGGGGACAGGGGCTCAGCAAGGCGCCTACTCACCATCCATGCTCTTGCCCGGGAGCCGCTCGAGGGGGGCGGTGGAGGCCTCCTGCAGCAGTGGGTCGAGGAGGTGGGTGTCGGCGGGCAGCACGCCCTCGGGCCCCAGGTCCCCGGAACAGAACTTTTGCAGGCTCTTCCCCAGCTGCCCGCTCACCTCAACCACCGCTGCAGCCGGACATGGCCATCTCGGTCAGGGCTGGAGGAACCCTCTTCCCAGGCCTAGGGTCACCTCTTCCCTACCCTGAATCCCAGGATCACCACCTCCTTCAGTCTGGAGCCCACTGCCTCCCCACCCTGGGCGACCTCAGGTCCAGGACCACCTCATAGCTGCCCTGTGCCCACCCTGGCTTGTCCCCAGCCTCACCAGCTGCCAGCTCCCCTCCAAAGACCAGGGCCTTGGCGCCTGAGGTGCCCAGGCAGAAGGCCAGGGGCTCACGCCGCAGGTTGATGTTGAGCAGTGCGGCCTCTATGCCAGCCTTGGCCAGGCCCAGCCACAGCCCCACGAACTCGGGCCGGCCCTCCAGGAACAGGGCCACCACGTCCCCTGGCACAAAGCCCAGGCGCAGGAATAGGTGAGCCACGGCATTGGAATAGGCGTCCAGCTGCCCGAAGGTCCAGCACACGCCACTGCCCGCATCCACCAGGGCTAGGTGCTCGGGCTGCCCTCGTGCCATCTCCTGGAATATGTGTGGGATGGTGTGGCCAGAACGCTGGTGGTGCCTCAGCTCCCGGCGCACACGGATCAGCACGGAGAGACCACTGTTGAGGCAGAGAGGATCCTGTTACCAGGTGGGCCTGGCTAACCCCCTGAGGCTTCCAGCTCCATCCTAGCAGCTGCAGGCTCCTCAAGCCAAGCATCCCCACCTGGATTAGACCTACCCCACTGCCAAGGATTGAGATGTGTTCTCCAGTATGTGCCAACTAGGCCAGGCCGTGAATCTGTGGTCAGTTATGTAACTTCTGTTATGTTTATCATTACTGTATGTAATGATGTAAGTTGGCAGTCTTGGAATGATCCCGTGTAATAAATCCTCTGAGTCAGGATTAGGTTGGGGTCTATCTTGAGTCCTACCCTTTAAAAGCAGGGAGCTCTGGTCACCTAGTGGTAAGAAGCTGCACTGCAATCCTGAAAGCTCACACTTTGAGGCCACCAGTTGCTCTGTGGGAGAAGGATGGGCAGTCTTCTCTCATAGGGTTATCTATGGGGTTGGTTTCGACTCTATGGTACACGACAATAACTCTTTAAGTAGCACCTTAAGAGATCACTCTTTTCTGCCTTACTGAAGTCATGCCCTTACTTGAGTCACAGTTGTTTTATCCTGTTGTTGCTGTTGTTATGTGCTGTTGAGTCGTTTGCGACTCATAGCGACCCTATGTACAACAGCCCTAAACCGTGCTCTGTCCTGTGCCAATCTCATTGCCTCTGACACACCCACCCCGATTACCCCAGTCACTGAATCAATCCACCTCATAGAGGGTCTTCCCCTC